GGTGATTTGCAGAAAGAAGGTAAAAAACATATCAGCTACGAACGTTCCGACCAAACTTTGACAGGTGATACAAGGTTTAATACAACTAATACAACTGTTACCTTCGGCTTTCCTGATAAAGCAAGTGTGAATTTTCCCTTTGTGGCCTAGTGATATTGTTTGGATTGTGTGAGGTGTCGCGGAGAATAAAGCATACCTTAACCTGGTATTTGTATGTGGTCTGTAGGAGGAGGTATAGAAAGCAATTTCCGGCGGCACTCCGGGTTTGCATTACACGTGAAGCGATTACAACGGCACTCGAAACGACTGTATTCTATACGGTGTTGTGATCGCAACCACTCATGCTGTTATTTTAACCAACCTTCAGCATCTGACAGTACAGTGCAGGGTTGGGAGTAGTTCGGTGTCGCTCCTCTCAACACCGACACCTGATAACCGGTTTCTTCCTCGTTTGGAATCATCAGGTGGAGATAGTCTGAGCTGGGGTGGAAGCCGGGGCCTAGTGATTAGAGGCTGACATCTTAATCACTATGGCTCTATGGTCCGTGAGCAACGCTTGGCACAGCAGTAGGGGATTAAAAGTTGCATTTTGAGTACTCGCTGTGTGGTTGGGTTTCGACACGCAACCTCTATTCAGACCTCGGTTCACTTTGAAGAAGACCTCGGTCCTTACGATCACAAGGACCGCGTCCGAATTGGAGGTGGTTCGGCGTTGCTCCTCTCAACACCGTCACCCAGTAACCGGTTTCGTCCTCATTTGAACCCATCAGTTAGAGATAGCCTGAGTTTGGGTGGAACCCGGGGCCTAGTGGTTAGAGGCTGGCGTCTTAATCACTATGGCTCTATGGTTCGTGAGTAACGTTTAGCACAGCGGTAGGGGATTCAACGCTGGATGTTGAGCACGCGCCGTATAGTTGGATTTGCGACTCGCAATCTCTATTCAGGGTTGTTTAAACTCACGATAAGTTAAACCCGCAAAACCCTGATACTACCATTGAATAGCTCAACAATCAATTTCTGTTCTTAAAGATGGCACCACGAACTTCTGACGTTTTTACTCGCACGACTTTGCAGTATCTCCAAAGTGGTGCTCTATTCTTTCCTCTATAGCTACCAGGCTTGAAACCCTTGCTCCGTGTGAGGGACTATGGGTGCACTGAGCAAATGTGGGTTAGTGCACGAATCTATATAACCTCCTCAAGAGAACACGTGCTGAATGTTGTCTATTGAGACTACTTCGGGCTGGTCCGAACAACTGAGGTTATCGTGAATCAGTAGACCGCGATCCCTGTCGTCAAAAGAATTCTTTTGATCCTGATTGCTCAGTTTGTAGCGATGAGCCATTCAGTGGTGCAGATTGCTATGTGTAGTTTGAAAAGATTCTGGGCTGGGTGTTCATAAACCATATGAAAAAAGTCTTGAAGTTGTAGTTGAACATCTGAAGCCCTGATCGCTCAACATAGTGTGATTCCGTCGGCGTGAAACAAGCTGTTCAGGGAGATCAAGTGTGCCATATCGTAAACAAACACCAAGAATTAAGGAGATTTTAGTTTCCATCCTTGTGATTCACCTCATGCGACTCGAGTATGACCTGACATTGATCCGTTTATATACACTTCCAGACGCTTGTGTAAGGGAACTCACCCTAGGAGAAATCCATTACTAGCTACTCTGGAGGTTGGAAAGAAGAATGTGCTGGCTCAACCGACTGACTGATTTCAGGAATAATAGGCGCCTGTGCACACAGGGTATCAGCCGTTTCTAATAAACGATGCGATAGATATTCATGAATAATCCATGATGGTTCTCACGCGTGTTTCGCAATCGATAACTCTGCGTGTTGTCGTTTGTTCCCTTTATTCCATTTTCCGGTTAAGTGCTCTGAGTCGCATTTCTCCTCTGAATGCGCACTTTAACCTTCTTGATCAGACGCCGATTTGTGTGCCCTCAGCCTAGTTGCATCCGTGCTTAGATCATCTGAGTCCAGTGGGCATGAGTGCCATTTGATTTTATGGTCCAGATAAGGCAGTACGTGGTGACATTGGGGGCACCACGGAACGTTATCACTTAGCACCAGCCAACTTAACTCGCTACTATCATCTTCGAAGAGTAGCTATGATCAGAAAAGCGTTATCGGGCAACCTATACATCGAAAAAATAATTCCTGTTAACCGGGTGCTTTTATCACATAGCTATCAAACTATACTACTGAATATGTACACACAAAACTGCATAGCTGGGACACCACTAAAGTGGCTTTTAACGAAACGACCCACGTAACCAAGCAGTTTGCATCCGTAAAAGTGTTCAACATCCCCAAAACTCGCCTTTTAGAAAACAGAAACAAGTTTCTTCCAATTACTTTGACCTAGTGCGGACCACAGTCTTCGATTTTCTACCTTCAGCAGATGTCAACAGATTGTGGCAATTGATACCAAAGGGAATTGACTTCCAACGCGACCTTGACGAGACTTCTGGTTCTGCCAGTCTGTGATAGGCGTTTCTCAATGGGTAAAGCTATGGTTTTATGCAAACAGACCATTAACAGGTCTATGTCCCTAGGCTTAGAGAAAAGGCCTCGCTAAGTTCTGTCTAAGAAAGAGGTCGTGATGTTCCCATACAAGAGAGTCCGATTCAAGAATGAAACGTCGCAACTAACACCGGTCCCGAACTTAGCGATTGGGGTTCTGCGATTCACCCACCCTCTCCCTGAAACTTGCGCGTTCGTGCGCCCTCACGTCAAACATGGTATCCGAGCACACGTGACACCGCCGCACTAGAGCTCCCATAGCGTTCGGCTACATGAACCGTCAGAGGTCAGCGCAATCTTCCATACTATCAAATGCTGAAGATTTTCAGTGTTATTCTTGTGCGGCCGTGAGCTGCGTGTGAAACGCAAGCTGATATGTCAGATATGGCTCCATCCCACTAACTCGATCTTAACAAAAAGCTTGCGGGCACTCGTCGGGGATTAATTAAACATTACGGCGTCTCGACTGCCTTAGAAATTACCCTCTCCTTGGATCCTGCTAATGCTGGAACTCTCTCTATCTCATATTTCGTCCTTTATGTTGTTCAGTCGACAATTTTTAATAGGAGGCTACATAGCACGCTTACGCTATCGTGTTTTTGTCCCCAACAATAAGTACGACCTAAATATCACCTATGAATTGGCAGTACCTTTGCTGGAAGGTGTGAAGCATGTGGATGAGTTGAAGACAAGGTGGACAAGCAAGTATTACCTTCCGTATCATAAAAAGCACAAATTCAGTGTTGGGGCGTCAATTTCAACCCAACCTCATATGGTGTAATGCAGTCATTTCCCTGCAAGAACTTTAAGATAGCAAGCAGGAACAACATTAGAGTGGGGTCATGATTTCAGATTCTTTCGTATCTTCTCAATCAGCCGCATACAGACAAGTCAAGTCAGGGTAAGCTTTATGTACACAAATGGGCGAATTTTCAGCAATTTACGTTATCAACTACGGGTCAAGTAAACTGATATCTTGACAAATAAAATTTTTTTTAAATGGATGCACGAAAGCGCGAAGGGCGCATTGGTTTCACTCGAGTAAAAGGGACCCGCGTTCTTGAGCACTGAGCGCACATTGGTAAAAAAAATCGTGTTTTTTTCAGCCGACAGAGTGTAGTTTTGTGAGGCTAGTTCTTTTTCATTGTATCCAACCGGCCAAAACTTCGTGGCCAAAACTAACAGACTGCAAATAGTACGCGGTATCTGGGCTCTGCATTCAAAATAGCAGTCTCGTTGACCTTTGAAGTACTTTAGACAAACAAAGCTGTGAAATTATTCCTATACAACTTATTACATCCGCAGTAGAATAAGCAACAATGATGTTTAATGAAAAGTCAACGGTCGATTTAAGGGCCCCGCCGCAAATGACAGAAGGCTTAAAGAAATGCAATTGAAAAGGAATCAATAAGGGAATCAGTAGGACATTGAGAGATTCAAAGTCATCGACTGTGATGGTGAGAAACACTCCTTAACAAGGCAAGACGAGACTGGTCACAAACTTGAAGTGTTTACAGAGATTCTGCTTCAGTCGACAGGTGACGAAACCTCAGCACATCGAAGCAAACTGGGACTATTCTGCCTGTTGATAATCTTGAATGAGTTACAAGGATTTTCGCACTGGGTACAATCAACCAGATGTTGGGCGATTGACCTGGAAGGAAGCTTAGGGCCACTGGTTGCTAAGTTCCGTGGAACGCCCTAGTAAGGCGTGTTTCTTATCATTAATCGATGACATTGAATCTAGATGTTCTATTGATTCCGTTACTGATCGCTTTTCCATTACATTCTGGTAATCCGTCCCCTGTTTGTTCGTACGCCGCTGATTGGGAAGACACGAAGTAATTTACTACAGGTTATCCCACTCTATGTCTAGGCGTTTTTGCTACATCAAAGGTGTCGAGTGTATTTTAATTCTCCTCAAACAGTGTCACCACTATCTTGGCTTCAAAGGTACGGAAAAGCGGCCACACTTGGCTGAAATCACGTGAATTTCTTTCATTTGTAGTATTCTATGCATGTTATGAGTAACGGTATCATAACTCAGATATAGGCAATTGTTGGGCCCCACTGTTGTTACTAGTGATGACGCGACATAAATCTTACTATACCTTTTCCCATTTCGTAAAGAAAGAGAGATAACATAGGTTGTGATATGTCGCCATTTCCATTGTTCTCGCCGGTCACTCAACAGAACTAGATCGCACTGTGCCACCGCATACCCGTGATGATTGCGAATTTATTGTTGGGGATGTCAGGGAACGAGACAGATGGTGAGACACTCGAAAGCCAGTCCGGCCGTTTTATCTGAAGCTGATCCTTAAGGTTATCAACTTGCACCAACAGGCACAAACGCTATTAAAAATAAGTACTGTTCGTTAATTGATCAATACAAAACACCGATAGTATGAGAGACGAGTACACAGTGTGGGATGCTAATCACTGACTTAGGAATGGGCATTCAGTGAACGGTAGCATATAGGAGCGTCCACGCCCAGTGGATGGAATTTGATAGCGTTACGGACCAATTTGGGAGGTCTGTTGCGGGTAACATTATTTACTTAGGAAGAAATTTGAAGACGCTATGGATGCAATTGGCAGGGAAAAGGTATAGCAGTGGGTCCCCTTCAGCCATTTCCTCAAAGCAGAGAGATGACATAGGTTGCGATATGTCAACCTTACGATTGTTCTCTTCAGTCGCAAACATAATACGAGCAGAAACACACAAACGATCATATACACGGAAAAAACAAGCAACACCAATCAAGATGTCACAGTCATGACCAAGGCAACCGAATTGATCGCTTCAAGTTTCTGTGCACATAGCACCGGTTGATGGACCTTCGTTAGCAACGCCTCACGAATTTCCAACATGATCGGGTTTTTGTTGCACAAGAACACTTCGAACGCGGTCTCAGGGTTCGCGTGATGATGGGTTACCATGAGGTGCTTGGTGATAGACGATGCCGGGCTCCGAGTAATCCGCAGATCCGCCCATTTTTGTTGCTCCATCACTTATCCCAACCACTTTGGCAAATCTTCAGCTACCCGCTGAGCCAACGGACGATCAGTTCTGCCTATGTAAATGTCACCGCCACCGCAGGTGCACTAATAAACAACGTGAGAGGCCGAACTAATCGACTAGTTACTCCGACGATTATGAAGAACAAGTGCTCGCGTGGTATGCATAAGTCGCAACTGGGCAATCGTGTAGGCGCGCGTTAGGGCGGACCGAAGGTTGCGTCCGATGTCATTTGCCACATCGTCCCCCTTGAACGGCAAAAACAAATAAACATCCTTTTTCTCAGCCGCCAGCACCGGTGTTTTCCTGCTGGGCAGCCTACTGTATATCTGAATAAACTTTTAAGGATACCCATTAGAAATTAATTTCCCGTGCAGAATTTCTTCTTCAGATTTTAACGTTTCGGGGCGGCAGATACGTCTAGCTAGGTAGAAGAGGGTTTTCCCTGAGCCACGTTTGTATGCGACCGGGGCGACGCTTGAAAAATGAAGGTGCTGTCCACACCAAGTCGATTTGCGGTGGACAATGCATTGCAATGTGCCTTCAGCCCATCTTTTAATGAGTATATCCCAAAACGGCAGGCAACCGTGTTGTTCCACTTCATGGGATACCGATAGATTACGGTGAATCGAATTCAGAATGGTCAGTAGCCGCGTAAAATATTCTCCGCTGGTGACGACTCAAATGTCATCCACATGCCGTCTGTACAATTTCGCTTCACCAATGCTGGCAGCAACCTGGCTTTCTATCAAGCCGATGAAGATGACGGTTAAAACTGGTCCCAGAGGGCTGCCCTTAACGACCTCGTCGATTTGTTTGTATGCGGTCCCCACAAGCTCAAACCGTATGCTCTCGGTGCACAATATAATCAAATTCTTTAAATGCACCACGAGCAAGTCCACAGACATATTCTGGCTCAGGATAAAATCAATTAAATGATCGACCATCTCACGTAAAGGCACGTTTGTGAACAGGGAGTCCACGTCTCTTAAGTACATGAGCTCCGCACTCGATTGCGCTGTGGCTCGTGAAACTATTAGATCCTGTGCGTAAACTTCTCGCTACATCTTGCCTGAAAGACTGCTTTTAACTGGCCGAGACGTTGGAACAATAGTCACTAAATGCCGAGCTATGTACTCAAGAGACGTGAGACGGTCGATCATTAAATTGATTTTATCTTGCCAGTAGTCGTATCCGGGTTTCAAATGACATTGAATAATATCCCATCAAATGACATGCTGATGTGTGAGCTACCTGCTCGTTTTTCACAGAAAGCCGTGGATTCATGCCTTACGAATCTGGTAACGGGGCCTACGTCATTTACACCATCAATCCACAAAGGCGCACAAACGTGGATGAGATGCGAGTCGCTTTTCAGACCTTTTCCAAAGATGGACCAATCGCAAGGGTTGTTCAGTCCGATGGAAGCTTCTACGATTTTGTTATGGTGAGTTGATGATCAAAGCGGATTTCCTTTCCTGGTAACTTTCTTGCACAGTACTCGGACTACGACGTTGAATTTGTTGATTGGGCTCCATTGGGACGCATGTACGCCTACTCGACACCCACGCGTTGCACTGTACACGCACACGCGCATAAAGACAGCCGTCTTGCTTTGAACTTGAATATATTGTCACCCTAGTAAATGTGAGTTGATGTTCAAGCGGTTTCATATCAGCCCTGAGGTCAAGCCGCGCATGCACAGTCTAGAACCCACTCTAATTTCGAAAAAATAAGTCAGCAAATCGATCGGTTTGCTGATATTGCCTACTGACCAATCTGAACAGTGCTCTTCACTGTGCCCCTAGATCTTCATTTTGGCGGTCTTGCTGGTTCAAGTGCTCTGAACGTTACCAACAGCGCCTCAGCATCTAAGGACACCCCGTGACCCGATATATCAGATCGGCAGTCTCGCTCACCTGAGTTACATGCCAACAAGTGAAAACGAGCGAAACAAGATTACTAATCGATAGCATATTGGAATATGGAATGTGAACGTTGCTGCCCACCGACCATGAGATTTATATGTGCACAGAGTAGCTTTTCTATGGGTATGGTTGTCAAATAAGTTGAACCGCAGACTTTACGTCGCGCATGCACAGGGAGCACGAGAGCACGAGAGCACGTGCGCATATTAGGTACTCATCTAGTCCGTCGGTGGCAACGGTAGAGCAGTACATCTGGAATCAATAAGCCGGTGGTGGCGAAGGTGGTGATGGCATATCTTAATGGAAACCTCGTTCCTTCAAACGAATCGTCGTTGCTTTAAGCGGTACGAGCTGTGATCATGAACGATAACTCGAAGTGTTAATTTAATGGCAGGCCACTCGATCACGTGCAAACTGCAGTAGTTAGACTAGCTTCTTCGAAACGGCGCCATGTGTGGTTTTAAGCAATCCTGTTCTTCACCTGAATGCTTGACAGTTACACGACCAAAAACGTGATGCGCTTACATCGACTTACTGCGTGTTGGTAAGTATACTCCAGGCTTTCTCTAAATGAGTACCATTTCACCTTCGAAGTTTACTGCATCTAATTTGGCGGCCCTTAGCCACAAAAAGGATTAGCAAACCTTTCTCTTACCTAGGTACACAGGAACCAAGCGGGCGTTTCAGCACGGTCAAGTCACATCCATTCCCTGGGGGTTTGTACGCTTGCGCGAACAAGCGCTGTAGCAAGGTCTATGTCACTATGGCTCGGGGCCATGGTGAAAATAGTTGGAAAGTCAGTTCGCAGTCTAGCGACGTCCAATTCAGCGTGATGTTCACATTCTGTACATGTCACGGTCAGCGCACGTGGGTTAATCTCTTTTCACTAACTGAGCACGTTCGTGATCCCATCAATTCATTTCACGGTTGATTTCATCGTTATTTGGAATCTTCAGCTGGTGTTGGACGCCATGTAAAGGTGGCCGGCAGATGCTTTTGGACATATGGAAAGTGTTTGATGTACTGTGTTTGACTAGAGACCGTGTCGAAATCCGAGCACATGATGCATACTCCATGACCCAACGATAATGCGGGTTTCCTGTTCGATCGATCCAACACTAGTCCAAGATAATGAGATTTTCACACTTTGCTCTCATATAAACCCACTAAGTTGAATTGGGGTGAATACGATGAAAGTACTCTTCACAGTCCCTGGCATAGCTGTTCACCTGAGAATCTTCCTCGGTTTGAGCAGTGATTGCTCAGAGTTCGTTGTTGTTGTTGTTGTTGTTTTGTTGTTGTTGTTGTTGTTGTTGTTGTTGTAGGCATGCAATCAGTGCACTTTCCTTCAGTCAGAAATGCTCTATGTATGTTGTGGTTATGATACGCTTTCCTTGCTCGGCCGACTACCATCATAACTACCAACCGAGTAACTGCGTTCTCTTCGTGTTAGATGGCACATACGTACACTTTCACTGTGCTGATAACGGGACTACGACGTACCTCATTGTTGCATTCGGATAGTGTGAACTTGTAGGATTCCAAGGAGTTCAAATCATTGTTCACTAGGCTAACGAGTATCCACAACGTGCATTAGATATAGCCATCTACGTCTGCCCTCATATGTGCGTCTAGTCCTGGAGACTGCGTGGTGCCATCGTGGTCTTAGCATTCTTTGAGCGCTGCACTCGTTTTTTTTCTGATACACCTCCATTTGCGATCCCTAAGCGTTCTGTTTGTGCCGGGTATTTGATTTGTTACACAGTTGACCATTCCACTCTGCTGTGCCCCTTCCTTCTATACTACCGGCTCCTGGCACAGCAGTATCTACTCTTTACACACCACATACTTAGTACTGTTTAGTGTTTGACGATTATTAGATGGCAGATTAGGTGCACCTGCTGCATCTATGGTTATTGATCGAGTGCCAAAGGGACCATGACTTCATTTCGATTGCGGATCCCAGAGAACGAAGAATCGTCCTAAATAGAGGACGGATGCATTTGTTCATCATGGCTCCACTAAGCATAGAGCGAGCCTGTCTCCGTTACGGAACGGCCCATGCCCCCATGTGTATCCGGTGGACATACTTTCCCCCGCGAACTCAAACAGTGGATTTGCATGCATCTATCCGGTACGAGTTGACCGCTCGCGATACTTGCCTACCACCCAATTGAGTGACGCAGTACCGCCCGGAGTTTACATATCCGCAGTCTGATTTTTATTCGGCATGACGTGCCGTGCATGGTAACGTTTGGTAGGGTGAGTGATAAAGCACCTAGCCGTGTGATGTCTCGATCTTGACTACTTGATCCAGAAAACTGCTATTCGTTTCCACAGCAATGTGAAGTAAACAGTGGACTATTGCGAGTGAAGATGCACGTGTATCTGTAGGTTGCCTTATGAAATCAAATAATACCGGTTAGCAAGGCCGAACCTTTACTAGGAGTCAAAAGAAGTTTACATGGTACATGGCAAAGTGTAGATATTTGTGTTCATCGCCTACCGCCCTTCAACTATGGTTAGTGCGGGCTCAGAAAACACTTATTGAGGATGTATGCTACAGAGTTAGCGTACATAAACAGAAAGGAAATTGCTATGGAATTCCATGCGACTGCAGTTTTCTGTCAACTTCGTTGAGTTCGCTAACTTTTCTGTTATTGTTGTACGCTATCAAGAAGCCGCACTTATGTGTTAGGTTGCGCAAGATTAGGTAAGCCATAACTAAGTCAACTCGCCAGCTGCGAGAAATTCCATTGAATAGTCCTAAGCCCTTCAGAATTTGCTCGTTTGTTGGACTACAGTTAGAAGCTTGACTTTAGGGTATGTCCAGAGCAGTAAAGTTGAGTTCTAGCCATGAATGCTAGACCCGAATTGCGTAATCGACATGGGAACGAATATGTTTCTCATAGGAGGAAACCGATAAACCCTGGTGATCCAATGCCATTCACAAGAGTCAGACTTGATGGCTGCCAGGTTTGTATACATTTCCGATTTATTGAATCAAGTATTGAATTAGAGCTGAGACGTCACACCAAAGTTACGCTCGCCAGCAAACCTCCGTAGTGCATATTCCCATAACCCTGGGTCTTCGTGCTCAGGTGTATTAGGAGGATTTGTTTACATATCTACCTGAACTACAGGTTTCGGGGTATCCAGTGATGCAGCCTGTCCAGGACGCACTAAAGCTTTCTCAGCATACTACATCCACAACCCTTTCAAATTCCACTTTCAGGTTGTTCCTGCACAGATCCCTCAAGATAGTTATTAACACTACAAAATATCATCCTACAAGCGCAAATGCTCCTAAAAGATGCGTACCATGCTTTTTTTGACCAATCCAAACTCGGCCGGTAGTATAACAGAGTGGGATGCTATTGCTTGCTGCTTAATGGGTCACTCGATGAACAGTAGGAATTAGGGACGTTCGCGCCCGTTGGATGCAACTTGTTCGCATCAAGGACCGTCTTGAGATACCTGCGGATGAACACGATTCCCTTAACGAGGAATTTGAAAGCGCAATGGACGCATTTAGCTGAGAAAAGGCATAAACGGTTGATGATCGGTAATTTGTATTAATCTGCTGGACAGTTTAACTCAAAGGCTGGTTTCAACTTGTAACGAACAGTCCATCGACTTTCTCGTGCACGTATGCCTCATCGTAATTTCACATAAGTGATGTTCGATTAGAACAAGTGGGGGAAGGCTGCGAATCCATAGCAACCTCGCTTTGTATCCATTCATGTCCTGGTTTTCATCGGACAAGGAGCACCGCACAATGTCTTATGACGAGTAAACAAGCAAAGGATTGACATATCCCGTAGGTTGACAAGTGAAGGAATCGCAAATCCGACGAAAGTGCATGCGGGCAAAATGAAGTGCGCAGCTACTAAGCCTTGGCGAATGGTACCACACGATACAAATGGGAATAACACGTTATTATGGTGAGTGGATATTGTGAAGAACAGTTAGGTTGCTCACCCGTTCATCCGAGTTGGTTGTGATTCCAACGAAGCTAGTTAACCGAAATCACCAGACTGTTCTAACCACAGGGTATTAACCTAACGCCAGTTGTCACAAAATTATTGGCCTCGATTATCATTCGTCGCCTCACTGCGGAACGGGAATCTCGGATTAGGGAAGAGCTGGTTTCCGCCCAGGACGTGGCTGTATAGTCCATATATTCACTTTGCGGCAGGTGCTAGAGCAGCGCCACGCATACCGAAGACCGACAATAGCTGTGTTCCTCGATTTCAAGAGTGCGTTCGATTCAGTCGATCGATCGATTCTGTTCGAATTGCGCGAAAAGGTGTTACCACGAAATACGTGAACATCCTTCGTGCTCTATACTCGAACACTAGAGGCCGCGTCAAGTTTACGGTGTCCTATCGGATAGCTTTCCAACCACAAGTGGCGTTCGTCAGGGTTGTCCGATTTCCCCGTTTTTGTCCAATTTCGTCGTGGATTCTATCAGGGAGTATTCCCTTGCGGAATCTCACGATGTAGGCGTTGAAGTGCTGCCTGGTGAAAGGTTAGTTGATCTAGATTATGCGGACGATATCGTCTTGCTTTTCGACGATGTTGGGGCGGCCGAATCAACACTGAATAGCTTATCCAGAGTGGTCCCACTCTTTGATATGCACTTCGCACCTTCAAAGTGCAAAGTGTTGCTGCAGGACCACCAGCCACTTGATGACCCCTTGACGCTTGCTAACGATGAACTCGAGGTGGTTGATCATTTCACTTATCTTGGCAGCTGCGTCAGCAATGATGGGCGCATAGGAACTGACGTCAGCTCACGCATTGCAAAAGCTAGAGCTACCTTCTTGTACCTGCGGCATCTTTGGCGACAGAAGGGAGTTCCCCTTCGTCTGAAACGCCGGGTATACAAGGCCACAGTGAGGACCGTTTTGCTGTATGGTAGTGAGACTTGACCCCTTCGTTCTGAAGAGCTGAGGCGCCCTCAAGTCTTTGATCATCGTTGTCTTCGAAGCATTGCTGGTGTCGGATGGCACCAGCGTGTCCGAAACGATGATGTGGTAGTGATAATCATGCTAGCTCCCTAGAACAACAGATAGCACTGAATAAGTTGCGTTGGCTCGGGCACGTGCTACGCATGCCTGGTCACCGCTTGCCTAGGAGGGCCTTGTTCAGTCTAACAGGTGTAGGGTGGCGCAAGGCTCGCGGTGGACAGAAGTTGACTTGGCAACGGAAAATGAAGACACTGACGACCAAACTGGGTACCGTTGGTCCGTCTCGCCTTCCGGGCAGAAGTCCACGTGACTCGCCTTGTACTTGGCTCGAGACTTTGCAGGATATGGCTTGCAGTAGACACCAGTGGCGCGTCTGCTGTCGTCCCTAATCGGATTGTCCGTGTAAAGTGTGTTTGCTATTGAGTTATCTGTGAGGTAATGGCTGATTATGACGCGTGGCAGTGAAAGCCGCAAGGAAGCTGTCTCGCTGATGCCGCCTTATCTTTGCAAGATAGCCAGCTGTTTGTGACGGAATGTTGTCTACACAAGGTGTAGGCGCCTTGACCCTGAATGTTTGCTTAGGGCATTAAGGTTTTCAGGTAAGTCCCCCTTCTCTCCCTCTTCTTATTCTTTATTTCATTGGTCCTCATGGTTGTATGGCAGCGAAACATCAGTTCAAATGGCTGAAGCACTGCTATTGCTGATGATGATGATGATGATGAGTTACCTGAAATGCATTCGTTTGACCAATCGTGGAGACCGGAGTGCGATATCCAAACGTTTTTGTCAAATGGCTAAAGTAGCGAGACACAAAAACTGAGTTTGTGCTTTCTATAGTTGGCAGAGCAGAAGGTCCCTTTGTCAACGAGATGCTCTGCGTCTATTCGCAGCCTCAGTGAGGAGTGGCTTCCGAAACGGATGCCACCAACTCTAAGTTGCGTAGCTACTGGTCTTATTTCTTCCGTGTTCTTACTGAATATGGTGTTTGTGTGAGATGTAGCATCATTAAGAATTGTTCACTCTGTGGCCATAAGTTTCCTGAGGCTACCTAAAGGGGAGGGGGCGACCGAAGAATCATCAGCTGTGCAATGCCACCGATAATGTCACTCACTCCCAGCTCTTCGCAGTGAAACAATCTACGCTGGACCGATAAATCGTTTGAGCTGCCTGTGAGTTGTCAATTACAAGCTACTGGAAACGGGCAAGCGATGAACCAGGGGACGAAATATACTGGAGCCCAGTTTGAAGTGACGGGAATATATTTGATTAGTGAACCATATACTTTATGTATGATCCCAGAAGTATGAATGAGAATAGCGACTAGTAAACCGACTTTGCACGCTTCTGTGCATTTACTGAGTCTTCGCAGAGTCGATTCGTTGCTTCTATCATGCGTATTTCTCGACATTAAAGAGTTACAGTCAGGGGTTGATATTTAGCAGCAGGGGTTGCTAGACCAGAAATACAAAGTAACCCGAGAAATGCTGAATAAACGATTAATTGGAAAGCACGGAGGCCTGTCCTACGGACGCCGTTATTCACAAACTGTAGAAGCCAGTTCCTACCATCTTGAGTTTGGGGCTTGGAGACGAACACGGGGGCCAACTGCATTTCAAGCGCACATGGTGAGATCCGTTCACTCCAATTGAATTGGTCTGCTTGTTTTGCAATCCACAATGCTTCTCGTGCTAATTTATTCTGTAAGTGATGGACTTAGAGCGCAAGTACTTAATGTTGTTCATTGAGCAGGAACGTAGGCGTCGCACTAGGGTGTTAGTCATCTACTTCAGTTGATGTGAAGGCATTCGATCATGTAAGCCGTGTCCAACAGTGAATCAATGTTTGAACGAGAACAACTCAAGCTGCGCTAGTCACACTCCAAGCCCAGATTACTTTGCAGTATGATGTTGAAAGGAAGCGGTGCTCAGCATCCAACCAAACAGGATGTATTTTAACAAATTGAAATGGTCGCTGCACTTAGGAGCCGGATTACGATGTATGCACATTTGGGGAATTCTGTTGTGCACGCGCAGTTCGTCGATTTAGCAACGATACTTTAGTTTGATGGAAGTTGATGAGTGTGTTCAAGAACTTCCGTTCCATGGTTGCTGGTGGAGCCGCTTGAGCAACATTGTTGAATGGCATGATGTATAGGCGCACCGGATGACTCATCCGGAACTGAGTATTCCTTATGGAGAAGTGGACTTCTCCCTATGCAGACCAGTCTGTTACATTTTATGAGCACTTGGGCTTTAACTGGCACAGAAACAGGTGTCATGAACATATTTTCTAGTACCTTCCTATGCAATGTAGCTTTGATCTGCAACCTGGGATACAGTAAAACTCCATGTAAGCCTTGACCATGATGGGAAAAAGCGACAATCGAATTGTAGTGAGAAGATAGCAAATGATTGATAGACATATGAAAGGTTTAAAGACAACAAGTGGGTGTATCGAGAAGATAAAAAGCTATGGTTGACTCACTCACGCACCGGTTACTTACGTTATATTGTGTACACATGAACTCCGATTAGATCAGCTAATGTAGACGGAATAAAGCATAATTAATTTAAGCTTTTGCTCCGGATAACAATGTAGAAATAGCGAATATCAGAAGATCCTTCCGTGGTTGCTATGCTCGAAGGACTGTACTGTGTGGCCAACTTATTCTACGGATATGTCAGGCCGGTATTGTGATCCCGTTTGCTTTGCATCGTAGGGAATTCGACGCACCACTATAAGGTCCCACCTTCGCCGCTAATATTGTCTAGGTTAAACACCTAGAGTATCCAATCTAAGATGAAATGGGAGATGGATAATTCCCCCTTCTGAACGCTGTAAACCGAGCAATTAAGGCGACGCGGTCTTCGATTTCTACAGCTAGTCACTGGAGGTCAACCCGAGTGTGGACACCAAATGACTTGAAGACAGACTGGAACGATTCATCACAAATAAAAGCTAACAAGTAACAAGTACGATTGGTCGATCACTGTGAAAATTGCCAAATCCATAGCAAACGCTTTGTTTAACTGGCGCTCTACTCAAGCTGCCTATGATGCCATTAGATACCTTGCAGATAAAGTTTCAAAACTCACTGTACAAGCGCAAGGTTCCCTGTTCCTAACAGCAATAGCATAAATATCCGTTTCTGACTCATTTAGGAATAATCGGAAATATATGTACGCTCTAAAGGAAACTACGACTGAAGTTCACATGGACATTTTCAGTGGCGGTAACTGCTGAAACACCATAAATTGTCCAACTTGTACATCCCTGGTCATGCCCATCTACCTTTCTGGAAAGAGAACGCTCGTAAACCACCTATAGTTTGCTCACTAGACGAATTCATATGACACCGCCAAGAATTATACTGTGTAAGCACATGGTATAGCTTGAAAACGAGCGCTCCACAGTCTATAACCGTTTCTCAATTGATTGTATCCTTAACACAATGGCTTTCATCCGTGGTGCAAAAGCCTGCATCCTTAGCACAGTTTCGGACGAACATGTACGAAACACTGGGTCGCGTCCCCTGGCTTGATCGAACGCTTCGTGAATGGGGTCAAAACCGTTTCAAAGAGAGCTTGAGTAAACAAGCGAGATGTCCGTTTGAGGCGAGTACACAGCTAACACTTAGGGCGTCTTGGATGCTATTTTCGTGAATATCTGATTGTAGTTTTTGCGCTAGGAATGCAAGCTGCTGCACTACTGATGTAAGCCATTGCGTTAAGGATGCAATTAATTGAGAAATGGTATAGTCAGCTTTCGGCACAAATAGCTTTCTTGTCCTCACCTAGTCCAGTTCCATCGTGAAGGAAGCCTGCAGTGGGTTGTAAAACCACTGACATAAATGTGTGCCTCTGTGCCCGTTTCAATAGGTTGACGGAAAAGTACAGATCAGTTTCAATGGACAACAGTACGCTCCAATCGGTCCAACTGCTCAATACTACCACGATGGACGAATGCATGTGGTGAGCGTGAAACGAAACAACCGAACTTTCAATATCACCCTAGACGGATACAGAACTATTCATGAGCCACCAGGTAAGTTCCAAGTATTGAAATGTTACAAACACCAACTCTTTGGATGCCTTCAACAATGCCCAACGCTCGCATCATTTGACCCATCAGGGTAATTCCATCTTTGTTTGCCTCTGGTATGTGAATTAACACACCTCTTACCGCCGCGCAACATAGAAGCGACAACATTTTTCTGCAACTACATGCGGTTGCAACGTTGTTACCTTATGATGTGGACTCCTCTAAATCACAATCGCATACTTTTACTAAGCTGAGTATTCGCTTGTTGCAAATATTCAGCGATGGATTGACTCAAGCTATGATTAGGTCTTTGTCGTGCGGTGAAAAGGATAAACTTGGTTTAGTTTTCACATATAATACATCGAACAATGAAACCTAGGGGTTTCAAAGCTGGGTCCAAGCAGTCTAGGCACAGCTTTGTTGTGAGCGCGTTTGCGTGGCCTTCTAGGCATTATCTCATGATCTGATAGGTACACGCAGCACACGTGATCATACGGGAATAACTGTTGTTTTTATGTATCGAGGGTACGGGAGACCGTGCCAACACAAAATCCACTTTTCTGCCCTGTGTGAGCCTATTTCAGGCATCCTAACATTAGAGCGTATCCTGATTAGTTTGTGGTGCCGCAACCATCACGTGGTCTTGACGCTCATTCGTGATTGGCTTATTGAACGTCAACCCGACAAATGGTTACACACCGTAGCACACCATGGCACACCTAGCGGCGTCCGCCCTCTGCGCACCATATGCATACTGCACGCCATTGGTGGCGAGCAGTCGACTGGGGAATGACGGCGATCCTTCGCTCGAAGTGGGAGTATATAGGTGTCCCCTGATTTAAACGTTGATCACCACTCAACACTTGTATAAAGCAGCCTCGTGGAATAATCCCACCATAATCAGCTGCTGTGTCAAGGCACTAGTGCAACAGCGGAGCAGTTACAACAAACTAACCAGTTAGTTGTGGCCTGCTTGCGTCTCAACAAAGGAGCCTTCACTTTCAATCGGTGGATTTAACGGGCTGGTGAGTCATATAATTACTCATTTTACTGCTGCAGTAGAATTCTCACTAAGTATTTGATTTTTTTGGAGTGGCAGGTGACTTGAACGGTTTTAGTTTGGATTTATTTCAAGGAGTCGCTCAGACGGCAAACGCGATCCTTTAGGAGTGCTGGTTGCTGTCCCGCCCTTTGTGGCATTTCACCAACACCTTTCTTTAGTTCGATGAATGGATCGGCGCAGTAATCAAAATCTTTCAAACGGAGGACTAGTCCTCTGAGGCACTTTGGATGCTCTGAACCACCGGGCGGAGCACGTGATCAGAAGGCCTGGCAAATGTTGTAACCACCTCATGTGAGTCATTGAAAGGTTTACTAACGTATGGAGAATACGATCGTCGGCAGATAGATACACCTATTGTGGTTTCTTCAGCAACATTGCAGAACCGGGTGGGCAAAATCGTATATGCACCTGCTTCGTTAGTTCCGGTCCTAGTGATCGAACTGTCCAAAGTTCACTTCAATGCTAATCGCAGTCCTCACTGAGATTACGTGTCGCAATCCATTCACACAGCAGTTGCTTCAAAAAGTGATTCTTAGTATCAGTAACGAAGAATGCTATACATGAGTGTCATGGGGCGTAATCAAGCTGATCAGAATCTTGGTAGTGGCCGAACGTGATGGCCCCAACATTACGTCAACCGGAGGTTAGCACATTAATGTTATTGCACTTTAAACCTGCTTGCCCCGGTTTATTACTACTGCCTCATTAAGTCCCAAAAATATGAAATCTGTCAGGTGCAATATATTGATCGTGGATAGGTTGATGAACCTGCACATGAATGATGCTGATAAATAACCTGGATCCAGAACATTTGCGTGGAGTACAGTTGAAATCGCGCGGAATCCTGTTGGGTAAGCGCTTATCTACGCTAGCGTTCAATCCTTACCAAGGGCAGCGTTTTTCTAAGATACTTCCTTTCCTGCACTTGTTCTGTTCGCCGTTACAAAAGGATGAAATCGTGAGGTGTTTAAGGATTACCGTCAGAGCATAAAGTGATTATGCGAAGGCCGTTCCGACTGGCGCTTGGAAGCTTACCCATACGTGGATTACGTTGTGGGTGTTCTGCGGAATCGGATAACTGATACAGATGACGATTTGCTGCTCTTGGGTCGACGAGTGGACATATCAATAAAGCAATAAAACAGTTACTGAATTCAGCAATTTCGCGTATTTTCATCAGCTGTTTACATACAGTTAGTGGAAAACACAGTGTGATGTTAAGAGCAAAAAATTCAAAGCGGTCGAAGGTCCTTAGGCTCACGTGACCCGTTCTGAGGAAAGCGCAATCACTAGCCTCACCAGGGAAGGGCTAGCATAGTCACGAAATCCACTGGCTTGCACAGATTTGGCTTCAGCCGCCGAATTGCTGCCGCCTCCGTAAACTGTAGTAAGCGGGGATTAGCTTGTTTGCTAACTACCCTGAAATTGCCACGTGAGTTTTGGCATTCAGGGCAGTCAAGTATGTGGCGGGCAATAGAGCTAGTCGGTAGCTTCGGACCCTTAGCGATCATGTTTCGCGGAACATGCTCTGCAATCCTCGCTGACAGCCTTCTCTCAGTTCGGCCTATGTACTTACTACCGCAAGTACAATTAAAGAGTAAATGCATGAGGCGGTAACTTGAGAGTCCGGTCTGTTCAGGTTGGATTTACAGAGCAACCTTCTGACTTGATGCAATACCACTAGCTCAGCCGCACGGTAACACTTCTTAATTGATTGACGGAGACGATGCCGGCATCGTCGGTCAACTTGATATCCTTTGAACGGTAGTGTAATGAATAATTTTTTCCTTCGAGACATCGGTTAGTGGATTATCTTCAGATCGTATTTTCGCGTGCGGAGCTATAAATCGCGCTGGATACCCATTCTCTTGTAATATCAAGGTGACTCGTTCTAGTTCGCGTTCGATTGTGTCTAATGAGCAAATTTGACGAGCTCTAGCAAAACTGGTACGTACTAAAGCTCGTTTATAGTTCATCTGTACAAGCAAACGGATTTCGTGACCACACTAACTCTTCCCTGGTGAGGCTAGTGATTGTGTTTTCCTCGGAACGGGTCACGTGAGCCTAAGGACCTTCGACCGCTTTGAATTTTTTGCTCTTAACATCGCACTGTTTTCTACTAACTGTATGTAAACAGCTGATGAGAATACGCGAAATTGCTGAATTCAGTAAATTCTGTTAAAATGTTGTTTTCTTGTTTTATTGAAATTCATGAAGGGAAATGGTTGCATGAGAAGACATCTCTTGGACAACTCAACGTCCCCAACTCATGTTGAGAGTTCTTTGTACTCAAGACGCCGAAGAAAACAGCGATGGAAATGCCTCATAAATATACTCTCTTTATGTAAGCTAATGGCCTCGGGGGTATCCATTTAATCCGTGATCCGCTTGACTCAGATGGCCGCATCTCCTTTTAAGCTGACACAGAACTCATGTTTTCGCTGATCATTGGTGGAGTTATGTGAACAGAATATGTACTTTGCTAGTTCGAAAGCGTATACAGCAGAGACTGTTCACAATTAAACCGCACTAAGCTTTAGCTGTGGCACATCGTCACGAGACGACTTCCCCACACGCATTGCGACTATGCTAAAAACCGCGAGGGATGGGATTACACTAACAAGATATGAATTTATTCCGCCTATTCAGTATACTTCAGCGAATCGGTCGATTCTTGGTAGCACTGAACACAACGCCAAGAATCTTCGTTAGCTAGAATGGCTTTCCGTGGAGCCTTGGTTACAAGCAGACCAAGAAGGCGGATAACCTTGCCATTTACAAAACTAGCAAGAATTAACATTTGTCAACAGTTGACCTTGTCACTGTATGTCAGCGAAGGACAGCAGGCTTGAATTCAGACGACGTGGTGTAGCGAGTTTTAGGTTCTCAGAGGTTGAAACGAATGGTTGCAGGCCCAGCGTTATGATCTCTGCGTGGTAAGCGCCTTCTCAGCCAGCAATTCAGAAGCATACCTGTTCTCGTCCTAGAATTGGTCTCGCGGTTACATCTGACCTTTTTAATAACGCGGGATATCCATAGCTCCGGTTGCCAGTTGATGTGTTGAATTGCTCACAGAGCTGAGCAGGGTCTCCTAGGTGCTTCTTATTGGTTGGCGCGATACGCTCTGACGTAGGTTGGTCCCTTTCAATCCTTTTCATTGTCTACACTTTCCAGTCTCTTTACTCTGGTATTAGGAACGAGATGTTTGGACATAGTTCTCAAGACTTCACAAGCACACCAGATTATCAAGTATGAAGTGTCTGTCACCAATGAACGTTGTGAGATTTCCGGTGTGACTGACAAGTTTGGTGGCTGTTATCGGATTGATGGAGTGGATGACTCATTTAATCCGGACAGGGGTGGCAGTCTCTAACGCACAAAGTTCGCTGTACTCTCGTACTGTGAACTGGAGAGTACCTAGTTTGTTTATGTTAGGGAGGAATACGCGATGCAAACAAGCCAGGACCCCATCGCTGCGGCAAGCGATCCAAACTCACCCGCCCTGATTGGGGCAAACAGAGAGGCAACCGGGAGAAGCGGCCAATTAACGCGAGGGCGGCGTTCCTTGATTTGCTGTTAGTTGACCTTTCCAGAGCTTTCCACGTACGCTTTAAATATCATTCACGAACTTTCCATTTTACCTTTATAATGAACGGTGTGATTCGCTAATACATCCCTGTTGCTCTGCTCGTCCGATCCGGTCTTCTCTACGTCTTGTGGGGGGCCAGCGACTTCGGATTTTGATTGGGAATCAAGCGTCCATTCAGGAGAGGGACGAACACTTCAGCTGGCAACGGAGATGGGAGTGTTCGTCCCTCGCCTGAATGGACGCTTGAGTCCCAATCAAAACCCGAAGTCGCTGGCCCCCCACAGGACAGAGAGAAGACCGGACCGGACGAGCAGAGCAACAGGAATGAATTAGCAAATCACACCGTTCAAT